CCTCTATTCATAACAATCCTTTTAACGTCGTCAAGTTCTCCCAAATTACGCAAAAGAAAAAAAAGAGAAGAAAAAAAAAGAAGAAAAAAAACGCCGCATACCTGCATTACATTCCTCTCGAGAAAACACTCAAGAATGTTAAATAATGTTTACCAAGCCTTCCCAGAAGAGCAGGCGATACGATAACACTCCAAGTACAGTTAGAAACCGAAGTCTACCCCGGCCGCCGTTCCCGCCCCCCCTTCGCCTCCGCAGCAACACGGATGACGAAACTCTCGGCGACTTCTCCTCCGCCAAAAACGGCCGTTCCTTCACGAGGCGAACGAGTGAACGCCACGACGTCAGCGCCCGCCCGCGAAAATGCCTCCGACGCCGACGCTGTGACCCCCTCATTCCCGCGGCGTGACGTCATTCGGTTGTGACGTCATTCGCTCGCTCTCATTGCAAGAGCAACAACAAGTCGTCACTGCCAGCTCTGCGTGACGTCAGAGGGCCGACTCCACCCAAGAGTAATAAGTGCCTGGTCGGTGCCGTCCTGTGGAGTGCCTCCCTCGCAAGGTACCGTGCCTGCTACGGTGAAGCAGTGCCGGACGGGCACCGGGGCACAGGGCCGTCTCTCCCCGTCTCGAAACAAGGGGAGGGATTGATTCAGTGTGTGTGTGTGTGTGTGTGTGTGTGTGTGTGTGTGTGTGTGTGTGTGTGTGTGTGTGTGTGTGTGTGTGTGTGTGTGTGTGTGTGTGTGTGTGTGTGTGTGTGTGTGTGAGTGTGTGTGTGTGTGTGTGTGAGAGAGAGAGAGAGAGAGAGAGAGAGAGAGAGAGAGAGAGAGAGAGAGAGAGAGAGAGAGAGAGAGAGAGAGAGAGAGAGAGAGAGAGAGAGATAGAGAGAGAGAGAGAGAGAGAGAGAGCGAATGAGGGAATCTTAAAATCTCGAAAGGGCAGCCTCGGGGGTGAAATTCCACGGTGTGTTAGCAACAGACAATAATATCGTCTGATACTTGGTATTACTTAGCACGCGACACTCACAGGGCTGGGCGCGGAGGAAGGGAATACTTAACGCAGTTGCTAAGGGATCTCAATGCAACGAAGAGGCTGATCCTCGGCGCTGCTGCCTCGTCTCCCTTCCTCCTGCAGCGCTCACGCCCCCTTCACGCTCCGCCGCCGGGACCAAAAGGGGTTTGACATATAAAAAAGAAATGATTGAATAAATAAATAAAGGAAGGAAGGATGAGGAAGAAAGAAAACGCGGAAATTAATCATTCTCTAGGGATGGCAAAAAAAAAAAAAAAATACTGACCGAATTCGAAAACGGTCTTAAAATAAATCAGAGACGGAATCCACTCATAGATTCACTAGTTTCTCAACCAATAAATAAATAGATAAATAAGTAAATAAATAAATAGAATAACTTATAAATAAACAAATAAATATTCAAAGAAGTAATAATAATAATAATAAATATCTTAAAACTTTCCTTTACCTATCTCCCCTTTCCAAACGAACATCTCCATCAGAGTTAATCATTCACATCGATCTATCATCGCCTTAACGAGGACCTGCGTCATTGCCGTTGTCGAAGGGAGATAACACCAGCCAGAACATGCACACAGTCGCCTCTGTCTGTGTCTGAGCCTCTACCTCTGAGTCTCTGCCTCTGTCCGTGTCTGTCTCTGCCTCTCTCTATCTATGTTTCTGTTTCTTTCTGTCCTAGTTACTGACTCTGTCTCTGCCCCTGTCTCTGTCTCTGTCTCTGTCTCTGTCTCTGCCTCTGCCTCTGCCTCTGCCTCTGTCTCTGCCTCTGTCTCTGCCTCTGTCTCTGCCTCTGCCTCTGTCTCTGTCTCTGTCTCTGCCTCTGTCTCTGCCTCTGCCTCTGTCTCTGCCTCTGTCTCTGCCTCTGCCTCTGTCTCTGTCTCTGTCTCTGCCTCTGTCTCTGCCTCTGCCTCTGTCTCTGTCTCTGTCTCTGTCTCTGCCTCTGTCTCTGCCTCTGGCCCTGTCTCTGCCCGTCTCTGTCCCTGTCTCTGTCTCTGCCCCTGTCTCTGTCTCTGCCCCTGTCTCTATCTCTGTCTCCTTCTGCCTCTGCCTCTGCTTCCACCACCATCGCCCTGTCCACCTCCGCCACATTTTCGGCGGTGGCGGCGAAGGGGACAGTACATGTCCGCTTTTCTCCTTTTTTCAGCGACCGATTCCGGGGCTCATTACCCTCGCTACACCACCAGCACTGGCTACAATACCTGGTAGCCACGGACACGACGGAATGCACGTTTTTTGTTTTTAATTACAAGGAACACGACAGCCCGTAAAATACAAGGCAGGGACGATTCAGGGGGACCGGGTGCCGCCGACCGTCATGGGCGATTTTGGCGGGAGATTCGAGCGGATCTTCGCCCTCGCGGGTAAGGGCTCCCGGCTCCTCATTCCGGTGAATAGAGCATCCCGGCTGAGAAATGAATTGGGCATCGATTATAAATTGTCTTCATTACATTTATGGGATACTAAAACTGTCAAGAACCCATTGTTCAATTTTAATGATTCTCTCTCTCTCTCTCTCTCTCTCTCTCTCTCTCTCTCTCTCTCTCTCTCTCTCTCTCTCTCTCTCTCTCTCTCTCTCTATCTCTCTCTCTCTCAATCTCTCAATCTCTCTCTCTCTCTCTCTCTCTCTCTCTCTCTCTCTCTCTCTCTCTCTCTCTCTCTCTCTCTCTCTCTCTCTCTCTCTCTCAATCTCTCTCTCTCTCTCTCTCAATCTCTCTCTCTCTCTCCCTCCCTCCCCCTCTTACTCTCTCTCTCTCTCCCTCTTACTTTTTCTCTCTCTCTCGTTCTTACTCTCTGTCGCTCACATTCTCACTCTCTCTCTCTCTCTCTCTCTCTCTCTCTCTCTCTCTCTCTCTCTCTCTCTCTCTCTCTCTCTCTCTCTCTCTCTCTCTCTCTTCTCTCTCTCTCTCTCTCTCTCTCTCTCTCTCTCTCTCTCTCTATTTACATGCGCTAAGAATCTACAAACAGACATACATACATACATACATAAACACACAACTGTATGTATGTACACACACACACACACACACACACACACACACACACACACACACACACACACGCACACACACACACACACACACACACACACACACACACACACACACACACACACACACACACACACACATACAAATATGGACGCGCGCGAAGCCCAGGGCCCGGTACAAATATTGACACAGGAAGGAGGAGGAGGAGGAGGAGGAGGAGGAGGAGGAGGAGGAGGAGGAGGAGGAGGAGGAGGAGGAGGAGGAGGAGGAGGAGGAGGAGGACGACGACGACGACGACGACGAAAAAAGTAGAAGAAGGAGAAGAATAAGAATAAGAACAACAACAACAACAACATATGGAGAAGAGGAAGAGGAGGAGGAGGAAAAGAGGGAGGAAAAGGAGGCGTGGGGGGGAGAGGGGCCAAGGTACCTTGAATAACCTTGATGCAAATTTTCTCCCGCATTTCTCACGACTTGACTTGGCGTTTCTCGGCCCCGATACTGTCCTAGTCCCCCCCCCCCTCCCATCCTCCTTTCCTCCCTTCCTCCTTCTCTCCCTCCCTCCTTCCTTCCCTCCCTCCTTCCTTCCTTCCCTCCCTCTCTCGCTCACTCCCTCCCTCTCTCGCTCTCTCCCTCCCTCCCTCTCTCCTTCCTTCCCTCCCTCCCTCCCTCACTCATTCTCTCCCTCCCTCCCTCGTTTCCTCCCTTCCTCCCTCCCTCCTCCCTCCCTCCTTCCTCCCTCCCCCTCTCTCTTCCTCCCCCTCTACCTCCCTCTCTCCCTCCCTCCCTCTCTCCCTCCTTCCCTCCCTCCCTCTCTCCCTCCCCCTCTCCCTCCTTCCTTCTCTCCCTCCTTCCTTAGCTCCCTCCTTCCTTACCTCCCTCCCTCCCTCTCTCGCTCTCTCCCCCTCTCCCCCCCTCTCTCCCTAGCTCCTCCTCTCCGTACCATTCCCTCCCTATTTCCGCCCTTATAATCCTTCTGTCTCCCTGGTCTTTTATTTCCCTCTTGCCTCCCCCCCCCCCCCCTCCTTATCTTCTACCCGTCCTCTTCCCCTTTTATCGAAATCCCTCTTCCTTTCCCCTTCCCTGCCCCCTTCCCTACCCACTCGCCCCCTCTTAAAACACCATTTTCTGACTCTCCCCCTCTCAAAAAGCTGTTCTCAGAGAATAGCCAGAAATTGCTAGCCTTTTTGCCCCCCCCCCCCCTTTAAAAACTGATTTTTTTTTTTTTTTTCTTTCTTTCTTTCTTTTTTTTGCCTCCCCCCCTTCCAATCAACCACTTTAAAAACAGCCAGATTTACTGACCTTCCTCCTCCCACTCACCCCTCTAAAAGTAGCATTTTCTTGACCTTTTCCCTACCTGATCCCCCGCCCCCCTCACAAAGGCAGCAGGATTTTCTGACCTTCCTCCTCCCATCTGCCCCTCTAAAAGTAGCATTTTCTGACCTTCCCCATCCACCTCTCTCCTATCCACCCCTCTCCCATCCACCCCTCTCCCATCCACCCCTCTCCCATCCACCTCTCTCCCATCCACCCCTCTCCCATCCACCTCTCTCCCATCCACCCCTCTCCCATCCACCCCTCTCCCATCCACCTCTCTCCCATCCACCTCTCTCCCATCCACCCCTCTCCCATCCACCTCTCTCCCATCCACCCCTCTCCCATCCACCCCTCTCCCATCCACCCCTCTCCCATCCACCTCTCTCCCATCCACCCCTCTCCCATCCACCTCTCTCCCATCCACCCCTCTCCCATCCACCCCTCTCCCATCCACCTCTCTCCCATCCACCCCTCTCCCATCCACCCCTCTCCCATCCACCCCTCTCCCATCCACCCCTCTCCCATCCATCTCTCTCCCATCCACCCCTCTCCCATCCACCCCTCTCCCATCCACCCCTCTCCCATCCACTCCTCTCCCATCCACCCCTCTCCCATCCACCCCTCTCCCATCCACCCCTCTCCCATCCACCTATCTCTCATTCGCCCCTCTCCCGTTCGCTCCTCTAAGCAGCATTTTCATGCCTTCCCTCCTTTGGTCCCGCCGAGGCAGCACACGGCGGAGAGACACGGCTTTCGCAACCGGCTTCTACTGGAGGAATGACCCGCGAAATCGCCTAGCAAGAGAGCCGACACGCCCTCATTGCAAACAGTCGTGCAACATTGATCCAGTTTGGCTAAACAGTGGGACCTTCGATTTCTTTTTTTTCTCTTCTTTTTTTCTATCTCTTTAAAAGCTTCTTTGTTGACTCTGTTTTGGTATAAAAAAGTACGCAAACTGTCGAGGGAAAAATTTGTGATTTTCACATTTAATCGACGATTGTGAAGCCCGACTGGTGCTTTTGGAAATGCACGGATGCAAAACAGATAATTTCCTTTTCTTCGCTATATCGACGCACTCGTCATTATCTACGAGCTTTGATCGACTCCTTCCATTCGCACTTCTTCCTTACGTCTAAAAGCATCCCTAAAAAAGGAAAGAAGAGAGTACACCCTTAATACCTTGACCCGGCGTCGAAAACCATCCCTTAAAATAGCAGAACTGCACCCTTAATGAATCCCGAAAATCGCGGAGCCACACGACCCGATAAAAAAACCGACGTCGTGGCAACAAAAGGACAAGAACAGGACTTACCTCGAAGGATAATTTCCCGATGTTGGACCACTGGAAGGATGAGATCAGCTTGCGGGACGGGGTGATGGGCCCCATCTCCTCCTGCAACACGGAACGCGCGCTCAGGCAAGCGGTAGAGAAGGGGGGGAGGGGGAGGGGGCATCAGAGAGATACATCGAAGAGGTTTCTGGTTGAGAATTGGGTGCGGGGTTTTGGATAGATGGATCGAGAAAATTTACTCTAATATAAAATTGGATATTCTACTCTGTTAAAATAACACATACGTATACTCACTCACACACACACACACACACACACACACACACACACACACACACACACACACACACACACACACACACACACACACACACACACACACACACACACATACGCACACACACACACACACACACACACACACACACACACACACACACACACACACACACACACACACACACACACACACACACACACACACACACACACACAGCCACGCCCACTCACCTCGTATATCTCGACCCCTTTGGCGCAGATGGCGAGGGCGACCTGCGGCGAAGGGTCCTGCTTCTTGTAGCGCAGCTGGTAAATGTGGAGGTTGTGCGGCGCCTCCTGCTGCGACGCCTCCCGGATGTACTGGGCGTGGGCCTCCGCCTGCGTCAGCCCCAGGTTGTCGCGGTGCATGTGCGGCGCGTGCTCCATGATGTACGTCAGCCCCACGCGCTCCACCACCTGTGCCGGAAGGAAACGTCAGGGCCCGGCCTGGCTCACGGGGGGGGGGGGGGGGGGGGGGGGGGGGGACGCCATCGCTCGGACAGAGTGCTTGGGAAATGTGCGCGTCAGGGAACAATGTTTATATTAGGTTACACAAGGTGGTCGTCTCGGATTCAGTAATGGATGACTTTTTTCGTGTTGATAAATTTGTTGAAAAATATACATGTTTTTTTAATAATAATAATAATAAAAAAATAATATTAATAACAATAATAATAAAAAGAAAAAGAAATATATATATATTGTTTCGAAATGTCCCTTAAAAACATGACTGGTGAAAATCATTGCAGATCAGGAAGAATAGAGAAGAATCGCCTTTAAAAAAAATCGCTTCATCGTAACATGTCTCCAGTAAACCTAACATCGAAGGACGACCGAAGCGGAAAAGCATTCGAAGAAATAAGGAAATCTGCAAACAGAGCGCAAAGTCGCTCGCTAAAAGAATTATGTTAGATTTACTTCTTCAACGAGAGAGAAAAAAAACACATTAAAGTTTGGAAAAAAACGTTCGATAAAAACAGAAAACAGAGCGTAAAGTCGCTCGCTAAAAGAATTCTGCTGGAGTTACATCGAGAGAGATTCTCAAAAAAAAAAAAAAATCAGAAAATCAGAAATTAGAGCGTAAAGTCACTCGCTAAGAGGTTTCTCGCTCAACTCCTCGCCACGAGAGAACCGCAGACACTAACCCATGGCGGGAAGTAGAGGTTGGGGTCGAAATAGTGTCCCTGGTGCTGGTCCTCGCAGAAGTCCCCGAGGTCAGCCTGCAGCGCGTAGGCCGCCAGCAGGAACGTCGCCTCCTCGCTGATGGGTTGAGTGTACGCCACCACGTTATCCCGCAGCTGCAGGTAGTAGTGCAGCCGCGACACCCGGTCCCTGGAAAGGAAGGCGCGGGAGGTTAGCTCTCGGGGGGCGTTTGCGAGGGAGGAAAGGAAGGAAGGAAGGAGGGAGGGAGGGAGGGGAAAGGAGGGAAGGGAGGGAAGGAAGGAGGGGAAGGGAGGGAAGGAAGGAGGGGAAGGAAGGGAGGGAGGGAGGGAGGGAGGGAGGAAAGAAGGGAGGGAGGAAGGGAGGGAAGGAAGGAGGGGAAGGGAGGGAAGGAAGGAGGGGAAGGGAGGGAAGGAAGGAGGGGAAGGGAGGGAAGGAAGGAGGGGAAGGAAGGCATGAGGGAGGGAGAGGTGGGGGAGGGAAGGAGGTCTAGGGGAACGGTATTCCCCGTCGATAGTGTGGTTGTGCTTTGCGTGTGGTTCTGTGTGTGTGTGTGTTTGTATAACTGCCTATACATGCACTTGTACCTACACACACACAACCGAACGCAGGCACCTACCTCTATATACACACATACCACCGAATCGACCTGTCCCTGCATGCCCAAAAGCTTGCCCGACCCGAAGGCCACGTACCTGAGGAGGAGGTGGGTCTCCACGTAGAACTGTACACGGAACCTAAACTGCAGAAGAGCTTCCCCGCCTTCGTCCAGGCCCTGCGAGAGAGAGAGGGAGAGAGAGAGAGAGAGAGGCATTAATCATTTGCTTAGTGCGCAGCTGAATTCACCACAAATCTAACAATATAAAGATTATAGATGCTTGAATTATATGCAATAGTTTAAGACGAACCGATCTGTTGTAGATAAAGATAAAGGCATCAATACGTAATGATGGAAAGAAGATTTAGCACTACCATGGTTATTGCAATGTTAGCAATGGCAGTAACAATAATAATAGTAATAATTATGATAACATTAACAATAACAACAATAGAAATATCAATAGTAATAGTAATAATAATAATAAAATTAACAATAATAATAATTAATTACAATAAGAAAAAGACGAAGAAAAAGAAAAAAGAGATCATCATTATCTTTTCATCTATTTCACAGATATCTTAATCACCATTTTTTCACATCGTTATCTTGAAAATGTGAACGACGACGATAAACTCTATCATCATTATCTTCGTAGTAATCTTTATAAGCGCAATTTCTGTCCTCTTCCCAGTTATCATCATTACCCTTACTCTCCTTCTACTCTTTTCTCATCATTATC